TAGAGATTTTATAATAAAGTTCGCTATATGGGACTTATGTTTACATAACGAATTGATACTAAGTTTAAACTAAAAAAACGAAACCAAAGTATTTCGCAAGTTATAAATTGAATAAAGGGAATGAAGTATTGATAAGAAAGTATAGTGGATATAACAGTTAATAAAACATAATATTACTTTTTGAACATGTTTGATTAGATAAGAAGTTCAAAATGTTTGGGTTTATATACAGTAGAAATCTTAGTGACACGGGCTTTTTAACCAATCATTATTAGATGTTTGAAAGAACAGAGCGCGAATTAAATTGAATCACAGTCATGGCTTCTTTCGTTCAAAAAAGGAATCCAAAAAAAACTACCACTAGAAGTGTAACAAGAGCCGCAAAGGTTTAATAGATAAAAAATATTCATTGCTGATTTTATATTTATTATCGTGATTAAGTCTGCTGACATAAAACTCTTTTTTAATGCGCTAGGAAAAGGCTGCCGCTGAAGCTGCTACAAAAGCCGAAGTGTCTCCTCAATACGATGGCGATATTTTCATGAAAACAGAATCAACCGGAACTTTTCAAACTGAAATGTCAGAACAAATCGTAGAAGAGGATGCAGCTTCAGAAGTTTCAACAATCGCTACTCCAATTGACACACCAACGGGTCCACCTTCACCCAGTAACAATTTTCCAATGCCATTAAATCTTAATAGTATTCATAAAACATTCAAGAATCCACATTATAAAACAGCCAAGAAATTTAAAAATGTTAAGCAAATGCTGGCTGCTGAAAGGAATAATAAAGTTCCATTGGATATACCAACTTGTATGTTTTCATGGTTCCTGAGTTCATATATAGTACATTTCTAAGTAACGCAATGTTTTAGATTCAAACATAGAAGCACCACCCTCAATAATACCACAAAAGAAGTATTGCGATATTACAGGATTAGAGGTAATATAACATTGGCATTTAAATTATTTTAAAGTTATCTAACCATCTGTTTTGTATATATGCAAACAACTATTAGGGAAAATATACAGATCCGAAAACTCGTCTTCGATATCACTCCGCCGAAGTATATAAAGAGATAAAGCAATTGGCACCAGGCGTTGTTCAAGATTATCTTGGGTTGAGACACGCTGCAGTTGTCTTGCGATAAGTTGAACGTCTAATTTACGTGTCTTAATATTGACCACGTCCATATCGATCACGTGCAAAGTTGTAGCTGATATGCCATTATGCATTCAATAAAAAGTCAAAAAAAACAAAAACAAATTGTGCTCAATAATTATTATAGGTTTCTATTTTACAATGCTATTTTCTATTACACACACAATATTTATACATGAATATTTAACATTAATAATTCTATGATAATTCACATTTTCCTGAATGGTCACCGTTCTCACCATTAATATCACTGCTATTCAATAAGTCACTTAAAACAACCACCTCTTCGGCAACTGCTTCCTTTTGATAATCAAGTAAAAACCTAAATAAGCTAGCTGCTTCTCGGTTTCTCGAGAATTGAAGGCAAAATGCTTGTATCTCAATAAGAAATCTGTTAACATCTATTATATTTTTACGAATAAGTGACTGAAGAAAGACGCAGATCTAATTGGTAGGTATGAGTTAGGCCATATGTGATAGCGACATAATTATATTTGTTGTTTGTGATAATATAGCAAACTTACAAGACGAACTTGACGATCTTGTATATTCCTATTTCGACATTCTTCACAAGCACGTACACAATTGGAGAGATAAGAGTGAAGAAATTCTGGTGTGAGTGGGAATGACGACAAAAGATTATTGACTACCTCCATAGAGGATCTCATTCTGTTAACCGGTTCCATGGAAGATTGCTGGGACCGCTCTGGATCGTCAATAGTCAAAAGCGTCTCCAAATATCTAACAAGTAAATGTTTTGGGTCTAATAACAAAACGAAAATTTAAAAACTGATCATAATATACTTGATTACTCACTGATCAATCTGTGGGGACGATTTAAGTTGTAATAATACTTTTATGGCAACTCTTGAATTGTTTTCGATCAGGAAAGGAAGCTTTTCCGGAGAAAAATCGCAAGTATAGATAAGCTTATCATTCTTTTCAAGTTGCTTTAATATAAACTAAGACATGAAAAAATATTTTAATATGATTAACTCTTAATGCACATTTGACTCATTCACAAACCTCCTCTTCCGGTATCGACAATGCTCCTTGCAAAGCTCTATTCATCAAAGACCGGACTTCATCGCGATCTAAGTCTGCCAGCATGTTATAGTCCATTTCCACCTCGAGCGGATGAGGCTGCGATACATAACATAATAAAGGGACAATCATTTAGCAGAGCTTTTAACTAAAGTAATTAAGATAACTTCCACATAATTACCTCATGCTTTATTACTGAAACTTGGGAAGGAGGAGTATATGAAACTTCTCTGACTTCTTTATCACCAATTTCAGTCCAAGACTGTGATTTTTTGGTTTCCGATTGCCTTTAACAAAAATTCATAAAGTTATATGCGTACATACATTGAATTAAACTAAGGAAAAAAATAAATAAATAAAATAATTAATACCTCTCTGGTTGTCCTTTTGGTCGAACATCAAATTCATGTTTAATATAATGCTCAAATCTCGCAATGTTAACTTCCTCTGTATCCATTAGTGAATTTTCGGTGTTTGAAAACTGAAAGAATATATCAGTTGGAGTTTTATGTGCCAACTATCAATTTAATTTTATTTTGTTTTTTAAAAGGGAATTAGGAAGTTTGACACGTCATCTTAATAATATAAGGCTCATAAATAATGGTGAATTTTCACATGCCATTAGATAGATACCTGAGCTCCTTTGTCAGCTAAAATTAGGGCTTCCACACGAAATTCAACCAACAAATCATAATTAGCTTTGACAAAAGCAAGATTCGAGAAAAGCGATTTATAGAGGTTCAGAAATAACAAAAGGAATGGATTTTCATGAATAGGAACGATGTTATATAAATGGTATAGAATATAAAGGGCAACAATTCGTTGGTTTGCCTATAGTTAAAGCAGGAATGCAAGTGTAAATGTAAATAGCTATTATTAATTGGGCATCAAATTCTTTATTACTAAAGAGAACGAAACAAATCTACGAGTTTTGTTTGTTAGCAATGACGAACCTGTAGGTCGCCATCTTCAAGCATCGCCATTAACGTACAAGCAGCTTCAAACCTTTTCTGTTCAGGCACTAAACCTTTAAAAGTGTCTGCAATATTTTCAACTGGCTGATCAGCTACGTATAAAAGGTTTTGAAATGTAGAAATTCCTTCAGAAGTAGCCATTTTTCAAGTGGTCTCTGCCGCTTCTAAAGTTTGAGGGACGAGAACAATCTTTAATTCTGCCCTAAATGATGCAAATGTATTCTAATTTGCACGTGCCAATAAATTTTCGCAGATCATCAAAATTTATTGACTTGGTTTACACCATACATCAGTCTTCATTGAACTAACCAGTTACCGTTATTAGGTATCTTGCTATGCAAGGCTCAAATCGAACAATTGATATTAGTAGTGCTTCGGTGAGAAACTCATTCTATTCTACTTCCAATTTATTTTATAAACAGATTCTCTGACGAAATATACTTTTTATATTGAAAGGTTATAGATCTTAAGGCTGAACTTTTCAAACAGAAAGAAGAATTTCAAAAACAAAAAGCGTCAGTAAATAATCAACCCGGTTCTGCAGCTCTAAGAAGGGTCGTAAAGGTTAGCAGCAAGCGTTCATTTTTTTCTATACAATTTTTACTTAACAGTAACTGATCACACAGAAATCAGGACTATGGGAACGTCAAAATAGAGGAGTGAGCGAAAGATCTCAGAAAGATGAATTAGAAATCGTTGAAGCACCGACACTGGAAGCCAGTCGAATAGTAATGGAAAGGAAAGCTAAATTATACGATCAATTGAAAAAGACTGGCATTAGTGGTATGATTTAAATTGTATTTTAAAATTGTATTCCATTTAATTTTTAAAATTCATTAATTGTTATGTGTCTTGTATACAGATGAGAAGCTTGCTGAAGAAATCTTGGTTGATTTTGATCGTAAAGCACTGGAACATATATCGGTTAGTGAATGCATTGCTAAATTCTCTTTTGCGTATTTATATATACATTCGATTACTCAAATTGCATTATTATTATTATATATATATATATTATTTGATTTTTTTTTTTATACAGGATGATGATGAGGATAAAACAAATACTGAGAATGATCCATGGATAGAATACACCGATGAATTTGGAAGGACGCGCATGGCGCGTAAAAGCCAAGTCCCAAAGGAAGAGTCCTCACCTCCAAGGTATTATTTAATATTATTATCCAAAAGTTGTCCGAAGAAAACTAGTGCAATAGTACGCCTGACGTCTGTGTGTTAATATATTTTAATCGTTGATTAAAATAACTAAATGTTAATGAGCATTAAAATGTTTCCTTCGGACTTCAATAGATTATATTTTCTTAAATATTCATATTAAAAAAATCGAAACGATGTTCTTTAGTACGTTGCTACCCGGTGAAGGAGAAGCTGAAGATATATCAGCAATGGAACAAGAGCGGCTACGATGGGAAGAAGCGGCTTTAGAAGAATTGAGAAGTACGTACTTTCTTTTTATAACATATGATATATTTAATAACTCTAAAATGAACTTTCACTAGATGGCGGTCCAATTCACTACGATGAAACAAAGGGTAAAGTGTTTTTTTTAACTAATGTTTGCGTATTAAACTGCTCTTATCACCATTGATATATGGACACTTTTATTATGTTTTCATAGAAATCCGTACAAAGGGTGTTGGCTTTTATCGTTTCTCAAAAGATGAGCTGGAACGTGAAGAACAAATGCGTGCATTAAAAGAGATGAGACTTGAGGTATATACATATTACAATGGGTTGTTTATAAAATTGCATATATTTTAACTAAATTTCATTTTATTAGACCGAAACGAAACGATCTAGTCATCAAAGCATTAAAGAAAAACGAAAAGCACAATTGGATGCAAGAATGGCAATGATTCGTGCAAAAAGACAAAAAAATACATCCGTCTAGAGTTTAGAACTGGGTTATAGTAAACCGGGTCACCCGTATCAAAACGGTTCAACCGGGTCAAAAATTTACAACTCGGGTCAAAATGGTTGAATATAACCTCTAACAATCTGTTACTAATACACAGAAAACATAACAAAATTTAACACATTATAATTGTATTGTGAATA